TTTTAAAAAATGCATCAACAAACCTTTAAAAAAAAAAGATTGGTAAAAGTGAACAAACATCAAGTAGCCATGAGGAGCTGAACAAAAATAAAGGGAGAGTTCACCTTTTTTCACTAGTTGATCCTACTAAAAATTACAATTTAGTATCAAGTTTTGGGAGGTGCTTGAATCACATGCAACCCTTATAGTATTGTTGTACATTAATTTTTTTGGATATAAAGGTGATCCATAAATGTGAAATTTAACTGTCTGATGTTCATTACTGTAGGACGATTAATATATGTAACCACTGTGTGTGCATATCCAGATTGAATACCTGTGGATTTTGCTATGCAAAGCAGTTGACTTTCTACCTGGGCGAGGCCCCATAATTAATATTATGCACTGAAAATGACCAAGGCTCAGTTGGGAGTGCCAGAACTGCTAGTGAGGCACATTATCTTCTTGGAAGATAAATGCCATATAAATAAAACTGAAACCCAATTTGTAACCTAAATTATTGTTTATTCAAGGGTAATTTGTTCTGATCTTATTCTCCAGTACACAAGCATTAACTGATTGATGCTGAACTCGTAAAAAGCTTTAATTACTCCACTTCAAGTGGAACTTTCCTTTTTAATAACTAGGAAGCGTTCCGACACTCCCTTCAATATCCTAAAGTAAACAGGATTGATATTATGTTTCTTTGCAAGCCTGATGATCAAATCAAAATTCAGAGGTTTCCGTGACTTTTCTGATAATTTCTATAACTGATAAAAGTTGCACTCATAACCAGAAATTTTATAGACCGTTATATTAAGCCAGAAACATTTTAAGATTTTGATCCAGGTTGATGTATACTAAGTCTGTTAATCTTAAAAGTGCCACATTATCTGATTATTGTTGGAATAAAAAAATAAGAAATTTACCTGAGATTTTTTTTCATTAGTCATGGATAGCTCAGATTTGAAAAGAAGCATAACGCTGATGCTCTTTACTTTAGGATGGGCTAAACCCCATCTTTTAAGTAGAAAACCATCAATATTTTTAGCAAAAATGGCTTTTTACTGAAGCACCTTAAGTCTGAATAAACAAAAGACTATCATGAAGATCCTTGCTTCCTTTCTGGTGAGTTTCTAAAAGGTCTGTTCTCTTCCTTTTATTTTTTAACCATTAAATATAATAGACAGTGACTAGAAAGCTTATGCCAGCAACCGGCTTACGTGTCTCAATTTAACTAGGATGCCATTATTTCTTATGCTTAGGAATACGAGAAGGAAAAGCTAGTATATGACCTATTTCACAGAAGTGACAAATTTGACAAGTAACTGCATTAGCCTGTTGCAACAAGTACGACAGTTTGCAATGACAGGGAGGATGAAATAAGATCACCCCATATTTAGGATTTGGGATTTTCTTCTTTAAAATCCATTCTGATAATCCAGTTTTTCTTAAGTCCTGTAGTTGAATGCGATTTTGCCCTTGGCTGCTACCACTCTCAAGTTGGGAAGGTCTTTCTGACGAAGTTAGCAACCTTGCAAAATTATGTGCTTTGCTCCATCAGTCACAAATAACGCCCTGATGGAATGTGGGGGAAAGCACACAGGGTAAAGAAAAGAACCTTATATGTTATAAAACTAGCTGCTAGCTTGGAAGATATTCTGTTTTCTCTAAAGCGACTTCCTAAAAAATCCAGCCTCACTGTTAATCATCTTCAGTTGAGGTTTCCTTCACTTCAGTGCATTCTTCTTTGTTCTTCTATAAAGATCCTTCCTATCGTTTCTGGAATAATAATAATAATAATAATAATAATAATAATAATAATAATAATAATAATAATAATAATAATAATAATAATAATAGTAAAATTGGAAGGGACCTTGGAGGTCATCTAGTCCAACCCCCTGCTCAGGCAGGAAACCCTATACCATTTCGGACAGATGGCTGTCCAGTCTCTTCTTAAAAACTTCCAGTGTTGGAGCATTCACTGCTTCTGGAGGCAGGTTGTTCCACGTTCTAAGTGTCAGGAAGTTTCTCCTTAGTTCTAGGTTGCTTCTCTCTCTGATGAGTTTCCATCCGTTGCTTCTTGTCCTGCCTTCAGGCACTTTGGAGAATAGCTTGACTCCCTCTTCTTTGGGGCAGCCCCTGAGATACTGGAACATTGCTGTCATGTCCCCCCTCGTCCTTCTCTTCGTTAAACTAGACATACCCAATTCCAGCAACCGTTCCTTATATGTTTTAGCCTCCAGTCCCCTAATCATCTTTGTTGCTCTTCTCTGTACTCTTTCTAGATGGATATATTCTAAATATAATAATTTGAGGGGGCTCAGGAGGTCATCGAGTCCAACCCCCTGCTAAGGCAGGAAACCCCATACCATTCACCGCTTCTGGAGGCAGGTTGTTCCACTGGTTAGTTGTTCTCACTGTCCTTTTCAATCTCAGCTTTTGACCAAGTCATATACCTTAAACCTTTTTTAGAGTTATCAACATCAACCAAGATAGTTGCAGCACTGTTAGTCCAGAATGGCTGTCCAGATGTTTAGGTAGACTGACAGGGTGTTCCATTCTTTTACTTCCCCGGTGAGTTTAAGAGATGGCTTGTTACTTATGAACACCTTCAGCAACGCATGTCCTTCTGGTTTCAAGAGATAAGATCGTATTTATTCTGTGGGGATGCATTCTATATAACTCTGTTCATGCTGGTGAGCATTTTTTTTTTGCTATTCCATATTTATTTGCTATTGGTCTAATTAAATCTGTGCAACCTTAATCTGATATGGTTAATGCTCTTTTCCAGGTTTGCCCATAAAAGACCCATAACTTTATGGGACAACATGATGTCATTACCAATGTTTTACTTTCTGTTTCTGACAAAGAATTTGTCTGCTGATTTACACAAAGTAATCAATTTCCACTAAAAACAACACACTTTTGATTTGGGGGCACTAATGTATATTCAGCAACAATTCTACCACATTCAGTAAAGGTAATAATAATAATAATAATAAAGTTGGAAGGGACCTTGGAGGTCATCGAGTCCAACCCCCTGCCCAGGCAGGAACCCTACACCATTTCAGACAAATGGCTGTCCAGTCTCTTCTTAAAAACTTCCAGTGTTGGAGCATTCACCACTTCTGGAGGCAGGCAGTTCCATTGGTTAATTGTTCTAACTGTCAGGAAGTTTCTCCTTAGTTCTAAGTTGCTTCTCTCCTTGGTCAGTTTCCACCCGTTGCTTCTCGTCCTGCCTTCAGGTGCTTTGGAGAATAGCTTGACTCCCTCTTCTTTGTGGCAGCCCCTGAAATATTGGAACATGGCTATCATGTCCCCCCTCATCCTTCTGTTCGTTAAACTAGTGTTTATTCTTCTTCACAAATATCTCATCTCTTGTCAACTTCTTGTAAATCTGCTGCTACAGTTGTAAGTCTTGAGCTGCAGGCACCTAAAATATCCAAGGTTTTGTACAGCATAGCTCAAAAATCCCCGCACCTATTTGGATTAACCTAAAGTCTTAACTTGGTCTGCAAATATTGTCCTAGTCTATCTATATATAAATAAAAATGTAAATGTTTGTTTGTTCAAAATCTTAAATCTCTGAAAGTTCTTCACCGATTGCTTTGAAATTTTCACACAACGTTGCATTCGAATATGTGCGTGTTTTTATATACCTATATTATATAGATGTCACACCTGTGACAGGTAAAAACATGCTTTTTTAAAAAAAACAGCGCCATCTGTTGGATGTAAAAGCAACACACGCTTTTACCAGACTGAGCCACAGCAACGCGTGGCTGGGTAGAGCTAGTTGAAAATAAAAAAGGATACAACCATTTGTGTTTATCTGATGCCTGACAGTGGAATTTCCTGATAATGATCCAAATATGGGCCTGTCCCATCCAGATTCTGACCCATTGTTTGAAATTATAGATAATATATATTTACACATATCCAGAATGTCAGCTAATACAGCTCTATCAACTATACTTGTATTACCTTACTTTAACAAAAAGTGTGCACGCTCCTATCAGAAAACAAACTAATGAAAATTCAGAAAGGATTTCTAATTATACAAGTTCACAATCCTTGTCTGCGTTAATTGAATACTCGAAGCAACATCAAATGGTTACGGTGCTTGTGACTTTTTCTTCTTCTTTATTCACTCCACATAGAAAATCATGCAGTATTAATGTAAAACAGTACAGTATTCATGTAAAATGCACATTCGGTAAACAAGCCATTAGCATACCAACCCATTTTTTATGAACTACACAGACACAAATCACGTACTCTTGTACAACAATGGAGCACCGGGGAAGTGGGAGGGAGGAGGAGAAGGAGAGAATTAAAAGCAGTGTTTTAACCAAATTTCCTTAAAAAAAAACAAAAAAAAAACTGGATTCTCCAACTGAAGCAAACTGACATTTTCTCCCCAAACTAAAAACTTGTCAAAGAAAGGTGTTAACAGCTACACATTAAAAGCTATAATTCAGCACAGAGATAGACTGACTCATGCAGCTAAGGAACAGGCAAACATTTTTTTATTCTCAGAGCCGGGTTCTACAAGAAGCCAGGCTAGGCAATAGTTGTCATCAGTGTTGCCTATGAAAAACCAGCTAAAAAGCTGTCCACAGATGCCTTTACCTATAGAAAGTCTGGTTTCAACGCTGAACCATTTTGAAGATCTGTCACACTCAGTAACTGGACATATAAAGAGCAGTGGACATTCATACAACCTAAACTTTAAAAATAACCCAAGATATCAAAACTTGAAGAGCTCCTCTTAACGAAGAGCTCTATACTTGAGACACAAGAGAGAATATTCAAGCTCCATCACTCAGATTTTCAAATAATGGACAGACTGAGATCAAAGGAGGCCTCGTGAAGAATATCCTGTAGACATAAAGTGGAGAGTGAGAAGGTGAACAGTTTCCACATTGGCACTATATATATACATATAGTGCTTTTGACACTATACATATATATATATATATATAGTGCTTTAAAAAAACAAAACAAAAAAAGAAGACATAACAAATCAGTTCTTGGTGGTTTTTGATGGACTTGCACTGGACAGGCTGCTCTGAATTTTCCTTTTGGCCGATGAATGGATGCTTTTGGCTTTTCTGTCGGGTACGAACGATGAAGACCAAGGAGACTGGAGTTGGTTGTGGAGGTTTTGAAGCTCAGGAGCCATCTTAAAGAGAGAGGAGCCCAGTTTATGCTCGTCAAAAGGTCCTTGAGAGCTGTTGAAAAGAAAGCTTGGGGAAAGCTCTCTTTGGAATAAGAAGCTCTGAGGCTTTATTTCACTCGTTTCAGAAGTCCGGCCTGCAAACAGCGGGAAAGACTCCGCGGTTTCTAGCGACGATGGAGAAAGGATGGAAAAAGTCGCAAATTTCCACTCGTTCCCCTCTTCTGAAGGATCCCCGCTGAGAGGACTCTTCAGAGGACGCGGCTCTTTCCTTTCCTTTTCGTTCTTCCCGTTTTCGGTTAAGTGATCGGGACACTGGGTGGTCTTGCAAGAATTATCCAGGTCAGAAGAAGACCTGGAGGTGTAATAGGGGCTCTTGCTGTTGTCCGACTCCGACATCATGGAATCCAGTTCAGAAATCTTATCGAGGTACGCCGCGTCCATAGACGCCTCGCTAGATGTCCGGGTGCGATTCATTTCGGAAGAACGAACCGCGTGCAGTTTTTTCAGCACGCCCGGAGTATGGCTTTTTCCGCTTGATTTGGATAAAGACTCTGCAGAGTCACTGGTGGCCGTGTTGGGTTCCGAACCTTCGAAGTCCAGGTTCTCGCCATAATGTGGCTGGCACCTGTTCCAAAAGTCTGGCTTGTCTGAAGAGAAGCAACCTTCCTTGCGTTCGCTACTCTCGCAGCTGCTTACGCTGTGCTCTGGGGAATCTTTGTTACCGTCGTCGGAAGCCTCTCCGAAGTCCTCAAATTCCAATTTCCTTAGGAAGGTTGACGGCTCACTCGAGGTTTCCTCTTTCGCCGCCGGGTCGTCCTTATTATTGGGAGTGTTTAACTGCAAGCAACTGAGAGACAACGGAGTGCACGGATCCGGAAGATCGTAGAGTTCTTCTTTGTAGGGTGCACAGTCCTCAATTTTATCCCAGGCTGGCTCCGAACAGGTATCCATGTCAGAGCTGCCAATATCCAAAAGACCCTCTTGAGAGCTTCGGAAAACATCTCTTCCAGCAGACCCTGGGGTAACCGGATCATCCGAACAAGCCTGGCTAGCTGAATTTAAGCAGACATCATTGCTGGTCCCTAAAAGTCCTGCTGGCTCCTCAAGATCGCTAGGGCTATGACTAGCGCATAAACAAGTTGGATCTATGGGTTCTTGAGGGCTTGGGGAAGCCTTGCTGGGAGGACTTTCACAGTCTTTATCCTCCATGGAGGCGGCAGTTACATTTTCCGGGCTTGTGCTTTTCCTCTGGTCCCATTCCCGCTTCATCTGTGCGATCTGTGACTCCAGGTCTTCTATGTAGGCATCACTCCTTTCCAACGCCTTCTTAAGACGGTTCGTTTCCTGCTCACATTGCTCCAGCCTGGTTTGAAGGGCTGCCATGGTGAACCTCCCTAACCTGCAAACAAGCAAGGAAACAAACAAATAAATAAGCAGAAAGAATCCAACAAAAATGAAAGGAACACTGACGCAACACCGACAAAAGGTACTATGGTCAACGCAATTTCCTAGAGATCATGTCAGAAGAAAAGGACGGGAGTAGATCATCTAGAGCAGTGGCTCTCAACCTTTTTAATGCCGCGACCCCCAACCGGTCATAAGTCGAGGACTAAACCGGTCGTAAGTCGAGGACTAAACCGGTCGTAAGTCGAGGACTACCCAACCGGTCGTAAGTCGAGGACTTTCCCTGCCCGGGAGCGCCGCGCATGCATGGTTCCGCCCCCTGCGCCGGCCGAGGCGTAGCTGGCAAGCGGCAGAGACGGAGCAGGCCGACCACCAGCTGGCCCAGCTCAAGGGAGGTAAGGCACCCGCCGGAAAAGGGGGAAAAAATGGCGGACAGCCTTGCTTGGCGACCCCCGTGAAATGGTCGATCGACCCCAAATGGGGTCGCGACCCATAGGTTGAGAACCGGTGATCTAGAGAACATGCTACAGGCAGTCCTTAACTTACAACAGTTCACGTAGTGACTGTTCGGAGTTACAACGGCACTGAAAAAAGTGACTTATGGCCATTTTTCACACTTAGAGGGCCATGGCAGCATCCCCAGGGTCACATGATCAAAAATCAAGATGCTTGGCAACTGACTCACATTTATGATGGTCGCAGTGTCCTGGGGTCATGTGATCCCCTTTTGATCCCCTTCTGACAAGCATCATCTGGGGAAGCCAATTCACTTAACAATCAGTGGTTCACTTAACAAATGTGGCAAGAAAAGTTGTGAAGTGGGGCAAAAACTCACTTAACAAATGTCTCACTTAGTAAATTTGGGGCTCAACTGTGGTTGTAAGTTGAGGACTACCTGTATTTACTTCGAAACCCAGCCTAAATCACAGACAACCCTGTT